GACCAGGCTGGCCTTGAACTCAGAAATCCACCTGCCTCTGCCTCCCAAGTGCTGGGATTAAAGGCGTGTACCACCACTGCCCAGCTCTTGGATTGTTTTACAAGTATTTTGTTAAGAATTTTTAGCCGGGCGGTGGTGGCGCACGCCTTTAATCCTAGCACTTGGGAGGCAGAGGCAGGCGGATTTCTGAGTTCGAGAGTTCGAGGCTAGCAAAAAAAAAAGAAAAGAATTTTTACATCTTCCCAGCTCTGGGATTGGTTTACAAGTATTTTGTTAAGAATTTTTACAGCTGGGCGGTGGTGGCGCACCACCACTCGAAATTGAAATTGAGCCAGCCTGGTCTACAGAGTGAGTTCCAGGACAGCCAGGGCTACACACAGAAACCCTGTCTCGAAAAACCAAAAAAAAAAAGAAATTGAGGAAAACAGAAGATGGAAAGACCTACCATACTCATAGATTTGAAGACTCATTGTGAAAATTACTGTCTTACCAAAAGTAATCTACAGATTAAAGTAATCCCCATCAAAATCCCAGTGACTTTCTTCACAGAAATAGAAAAAAAATTCTTAAAATTTATTGTCAACCCCTTATCAAGGAAACTTGTGTTTGCAACATACAGAGACCATGACATAAAACTACAACCAATCAAATTCAGAGTTGTTAAGGCCCATACCCAGTGAATATATCTACAAATCACTCTTGTATTTAAAGCTCAGGGAACATTGTAGAAGGAGAGGCAGAAAAAATTTAAGAGCCACAGGATCTTGCTGTGGTACTATCTTCCAGTAATGCCAGAAGCACAACCATAAAGTCTCACTAATGTGACCGCCTAAACATGAGCTGAATAAGGAAAACAAAGGCATACTGAAGATGCTGGTGGTGGGGCTGAGGGGAAGGACACAAGGCCTCAATCCTACACAAAGAACTATAAGCAACTAAGGAGTGCAGAGACTTCAAGAAATAAGTCTTCCCTAGGGAAGCACATAACAATTGGTTGTCCAATACCAAATGGTCAGCCCTGCAAACATACATATGAGTAACATTGTATAGACTGAGCAATATAGCTGGAAATATATGTAGTACATATACATATTTGATGTAGAAATTAAAGGAAAGAGGCTGTGGATTTGAAAGAAAGCAATGAGGAGGATATGGGAGACTTTGGAGGAAAAAAGAGAGGGAAGAAATATATTATCTCAAAAATAAAAGGAAAAATAATTATTTTCAGGCATTCGGAGGACAGAGAGGCGTATCTCTGTGTTCAAGGACACATGTATAACAACAGTTTTACACACAGAGACTTTGTCTTTAAAATACATAATATACAAAAATAATTTTAAAAAATCTATATGAACACACGCTTGAACCTAGATACCTAAAGCAATTCTTCTAAGAATTAATACTAGAAATATCACTATATTTGATTTCAAATTATACTACAAAAACAAACAGCATAATATTAGCCAAAAACAAACAAACACACAACACACATACACATACACATTTTAATGAGGCTGAAAACAGTTAAGAGCTTGCTGGTCTTCTAGCAGACTAGAACTCAGTTCCCAGTGCTGGCATAAGTTGGCTCACAATTACTTACAACTCCAGTTCCAGGAGATCCAATGCTCTCTTCTGTCCTCTGTGACTATTAACACACACGTTACATGCACACATGTATGCAAGCACAAATATTCACACTCACACAAATAAAATAAATCTTTTTAAAATTTTAATGAGGAATTTTAAGGAAGGAACCTATCCTGTGTTGAGTGGATAAAGATATTCCCAGAAACCATGGATCATTAAATAAAAGTCCCAATACTAGAGATAGGCTACCTCTTGACAAGCTGCTGGTCAAGGAGGCTCCTGAAACCCCACAAATAGCAAAAGTTACTGCCACTATTGGTAGCTGCACACTGAAACCAGATGGCAAGCCCTTATAACTGAAGATGTCATTAGCTTTGGACACAAGACATACAGAAATCAACCTGGAACTGATCTGGAAAGCCTTTTCCCTGCTAGCTAGCCTTCACAGTGCAGAAGCAGCTATGCAGGCTGCTAGGAGAGAACTGTCATCACCAGTCTTCCTGAGCTGTGGACCCTGCGCAGTAATAACGACTGGCCGGGTAAGCTGAGATCACTGATACAACTCTGGCAAGTTTGTCATGAGGGTTCCTTTTTATGATCATTTTATTAAGAAGTGTGGGGCTTGCCCTCAGTGGTTACAAGGGCTTCTTTCTAGAGGACCTGGGTTTAATTCCTCGTGCCCAAATGGCAGCAAACAACTGTCAGTAATTCTGAACCCAGGGAATCCAACACCAAAAAAGAAAAGAAGAGAAGAGAAGAGAAGAGAAGAGAAGAGAAGAGAAGAGAAGAGAAGGGAAAAGAAGCCGGGCAGTGGTGGCGCACGTCTTTAATCCCAGCACTAGGGAGACAGAGGCAGGTAGATCTTGAATTTGAGACAGCCTAGTCTATAATGCAGGTTCAGGAGAGCCAGGGCTTACACATGAAGCCTTGATTCAAAAAACCAAGATAAAATAATAATAATATAGAATAGTGTTATAAGAGTAACAAACCACTTTCAATTGGATTTAATGCCCACTCCACAGGAAGGATTTCACATCTGGTATTGTGAGCTAAGTCAAAAGCCTGTGGCTATGGAGGTCCTAAGTCTTAGCAGGGAAGCTATTTTTGTTGTTTTGCCAAAAGAACATGATGTGCCAGTCAATGTTACCCTCTAAACAACTATTTGTGTCTATAGATTAGTGCTGCTGTCAGCTCTACCCAGAAAAGCTGCCTTTTTGCCATGGTCAGTCAGGCATAGTACTCATCCATAATCCCATCACTTAGGAGGTGGGAAACAAGAAGATCCAAGGTTCAAAATCATCCTTGGCTACATGGATCAAGGCCAGCCTGGGATATAGGAGACTAATCTCATAAGAGATAGCCTTTAGTCACACTCTGGAGTCATTCCATGACACATCGTGCCTCCAGCAAAGCAAATGTCTACAAAACATCCTCAAAAAGAAGTTGTGAAGCATAGGCACTACAGAAGGCTTAGATTAGGTAGTCCTTGACCCTTGTCACTCAAATATAGAGCAGAAGGTCAAAAACCTATTCATTTGTGGAAAGTAAGGGGTCTGAGGAATAGGTTTCATACAGGTATAAGCTCACAAAAACCATTTTAGACAGTAACTTTAAATGATAAAATGAAGAACACAAATGTCCAGCGGTTTCTCATAAAACAAGCTCCAGTGACAGTTTTACTCATAAAACCTATTAAAACTAATCTTTAAGCTTTATCACAATGGAATATTACCAAATCAAGGCCAAAGTAGCCCGAAGTCCTGAAGGAGCTGTAGCAGTGCCTCCTGTCTCACAGGATCATGACAGGCCAGGAGGAGAGACTGGGGAGGCTGTGCTGACTCGGCCAAGCAGGTGTTGATATCCATGCCCCTACGGACTACGCTAGGCAGTTACTTAGGCCCTGTGCGGCCCTGGACAAGGGAGTCCAGGAGCACATATCTGTGACTTCGACATTAAGTTGGAATAACTAGGGAGGAAAGGGGGAAGGGTGGGACTGAGAACATGAAAGAGCCATCCTTTGCTCCATTTTTCCTTTTCTGAGCCTTTGGATTTTAGTAGTGACAATGAGGGCTGAGTGAGCTATGATTTTCCTGATGTACTGTGCCTTGGGAAAGCTAAATTTGAGCTAAAAACGAGTTTGAAAGATTTATAATTAAACAACCAGTAGAGAAACGCTGACAATTAGAAATCTTAGGACAAAAAGCCTTATATAACTGTGATACTAGTACTACAACAGTGAACCATTAAACACAGATCACAGAGGTGATACTAGTAATACAACAGTGAACCATTAAACACAGACCACAGAGGTGATACTAGTACTACAACAGTGAACCATTAAACACAGATCACAGAGGTGATACTAGTACTACAACAGTGAACCATTAAACACAGATCACAGAGGTGATAAGACATTAGCAACAAATTCAGGGTTTTGCATGACCATCGGATCTACATCAGAAAAAATGATTTGTCCTTAATGGTAAAAATATAGGTACCTGAGTAGTAATATGAACTTCAAAATTAATGAGCTATGCTCTGAAACTAAAGTTAATGAGAAAAACACAGCCTTACTTATCATTTTTCCCCCTTCCCTTCTCCCTCTTATTCCAGCCCCACTCACTCTGGCCCAAAGGTTTTTATTTATTTATTATATGTAAGTACACTGTAACTGTCTTCAGACACCCCATAAGAGGGTGTCAGATCTCATTACAGGTGGTTGTGAGCAACCATGTGGTTGCTGGGATTTGAACTCATGACCTCCGGAAGAGTAGCCAGTGCTCTTAACCACTGAGCCATCTCACCAGCCCATTAGTTAACATTTTTAATCCACCCTGCAGTATGATTTGAAGACAGCTTCCACAATGTGATTCATGATTGTTTAATACACAAAGGCAAGTGGAGAAATGTCTCAGAGGTTTTTATGATTGGTTTAAAGGAAGATGCAAATGTTACCACAGCACTTTCTAGAGCAGCTGGGTGATCCTAATTCTCTCTTTCCCTTATTGTGAAAAGGAATTTCCAAAGCCCAATTACTCTAGCAATTACACATTTCTATTATATAATAAAGCCTTCAACACAAACATACTCAACGTGTTTATAACTAGCTAACACCAGAGCAGTCCATTAGTATAGAGAATTTAACCAGGGAATATTAAAACACTTATAAACTATCACCCAAGCCGGGGGTGAGGCATGCCTTTAATCCCAGCACTTGGGAGGCAGAGACAGGTGGATCTCTGAGTTTGAGGCCAGCCTGGTCTACAGAGTGAGTTCCAGGACAGCCAGGGCTACACAGAGAAACCCTGTCTCGAAAAACCAAAAAAAAAAAAAAAAAAAAAAAAAAAAAAAAAACAAAAAGGATTTTAACTATCACCCAAAACTTCACTGCACATCATTCAAAGCCAACTTACCTTGCAGTTTCTTCAACACAGCAACTTCCATCTTCAGAACCTGCTTTGGCTGCTGAGCTGACTCCACCTTCAGTGCCACATTCTCCCTGGTGAGCATGTCCAAGGCATCGTAAATTTCTCCAAAGCCCCCACCCCCAATCTTTCTTAACTGCACAGAAAACAAAACAAAAACACACTCAAAATTAGGCAAAGATTCTAACTGGAAGCCAATTCATCTTTTACATGTAGAAAACATGCAATTTTACCATTCCTACTTTATGATAACTGATTTCAATATTGTTAAGTCATTTATACAGCAAGGAGAACACAATTGGCAGGAAATAATTAATACTTGCCTACAGATTTGTCTACAGAAAGCAATGAAATTATTTCAGTTATAAATAATTATTAAAGGTCTACAGTCAGCATCAAAACTGTCACAAAAACACAGTATCTAAAAGAATCAATTCCTACAAGTACCATTCAACAGCCAGTTGGTTAATCTAAAGTAGTCATTTGCAGCCTTTTTAAACAATGAAATCTCTTTGCCATTTAAAATCTTATATAGAATCAGTCTAGTCTAAGGTAAAGAGGAAGGCTGAAGAAAGGGATGAGCAGCCAGTACTCAGTCTTCCACTTGCATCTCTGTAGCAGGACTAACAGGATCCACACAAGCAATATGGGTTTCTACAATCTCTCAGAGAACTCTGCTACACATCTACACTTCAAAATAAGCTGTAATCAACAAAATGCTTCCAGCAATACCTTAAATGCTAACTTAATTGGAGAACATCAGAATAATGGAGTATCATAAACAGCTTCTGAAATCTAAGCACAATTAGACCTGTAAAAGGCTCTGAAATTCTGAGGTGAGTGATATGCTTTAAGCAAGATGTGTCAAGAAACCAGTCTTCCACTTCCTAAAGCCATGTACTCTTATAATATAAGCAAACCTTAAGAATGTGATGTAATATACAAAATTATTACCAAAGGCATGAGGCCCAAGATCCTAAACCTTCCAAGAGGCTCATGCTCCAGTCATGCCCTACTTCCTTCGACACTAGCATTTTCACTGACTACTCGATCTATGCTCTATCCCTTCATCCCTTTCTTCCTGTAGTACAAGGGATCACACCCATAGTCCTGTGCACTATACAACTGAAGTATACACACAACCCTTTAGGTCACTTTATTATCTCAACTTCTATAAAAATGATTTGTTTACCTTTTCAATTAGCAAATTTATCAAGCCATACCTTGGATTATCACTGTCTCTTAAATCATGTTGAGTAACTTTTTGGTTTTGTTTTGGAGACAAGATCTCTATTATGTAGCCTTGGCTGTTTTGGAACTATGTACTGGCTGGCTAAAAAGGCATTCATCATCATCCTGGGAGGTGTTTGTTTTCTTAAGCTGGGGTTAAGAATTGGTGGGTCGGCCTCAGTGACCCTGAACTCCTGATACTCCTGCCTGCATCTCCTAAGTGTGAGGATTGTAGGAATGTGCAGCACACCCAGCTTCATGTTTGCTTAACACTGTCAATGTCCTACCTCACTACACAGAAGGCTTCTTTAAAGAGTGGCCATTTAACTTATTTCTTTACATAGTACTTATCAAGGTCCTAACTATATAATTAGAGCTTAATTACAGTGTTTGCTTTGCATGCTTAAGCCACAGTTATTTAAATTTGTTTGGTGACTAGAGGAGAGTAAGACAAGTAGCTACAGTGTGAGAGCAGAATGGAGCCAGGTCCAGAACTATGCAGTCAAGTGTGCCACTCCTCGTGGGGCTCTACCTTGATTCTTTGTATGTTGTCCACGAAATAAGACCTAATGTAAACTTAAAACCTAAGCTGCGCTGAAAGATGAGGCTGAGAGGATCAGCTAAGCCCAGGTATTCAGAGACAAACAGGACAACATCAGACTGCTTCAAAGCAAACAAACATTGAACAAGCACTAAGGGTATATTTTTGTAAGTTTGATTGATAGTTTATTATTTGATGATACAAAAGAACTTTAACTAAATGACAGAATTTCTTTTAAAAAAATCTATGTTGGGTCTTTAGTCTATTCCTATTAATGCCATTTGAACAATAGTAGAATAATAATTTGTTTAAGCTTGACAAAGCTGTAAGATATCTTCATTTGTTCTGAGACATTAACTAACTCACTGGTAATATAGCATGCTGAGGGCACGCACATACATTAAAGATATCAACTACATTATCTCTCAACCCTCTCTTCTTTAATGCAATGTACAGAAGACTTTTCTTATTGAACAAGGAAATGTGACCTTGACATTCCCTTGTCAAGAAGTAGAATGTGGGGATATAATTCAATGGTAGAGGACTTCTTGTCTAAGATATATATACAAAGCACTGGGTTCAATCTTCAGCAATGGCAAAAATTAAAAATAAAATTGAAGGTATAGAATCTGGTTTCCCACTTCCTTAAATGTGACTTAAAAACAGATGCTATGCCTGTTCTGAAGAAAGCCCTAAACCAGCTTGTTAGCTTCTATTTTCTTTCTCTAAAAAAGCAAATCAAACATAGACCATGTGTTTATATCTTTGGAAGTCATACACATATGAGATTTCCTAGAAAATGAACTACCAGATTGGAAAAATGAGAGCATTAGCAAAACCCAGGCATCAGGACATTTCTAATCTTGGAGTTTGTGGTTTGTTTGTTTAAGAAAGGGTCTCACTATGTAGCTCAGGCTAATCTTTTTTTTTTTTTTTTTTTTGAGACAGGATCTCTCTATATAGCCCTGGCTGTCCTGGAGCTCCCAATGTAGACCAGGCTGGCCTCTAACTCACTGAGATCTGCTTGTTCTACTTCCCCAATGCTGGGATTAAAGGCATGTGCCACCATATCTGGCTCAGGCTGGACTTGAACTCACAATACACCTTCTCCAGGCTCCTGAGGGCTGATATTACTAGCCAGTGTCATGTCACCAAGCTGTCACTTTATTTATAATCAATTTTTACCTCAATACTTAATATACTGCTTTCATCAAAATGACATTACCTGACTTTTATAAACAGTTACCAACTGTTAGAATCTTCCTGCATGATAATGAAATGATTCTTTTTTTTATACTGGGTGAAGAAAAATTTTAAAGTTTACTGATCTAGCTAATTGGTAACATTTTTTATTAGAAAAAAAAGAGTGACAATGAATGCAACTCAGTGTTAGAATATGTACTTTCCAATACTTTGAAGCCCTGGGTTTAAACCCCAGCACTACAAAAAAAAAAAAAAAAAAAAAAAAAAGTTGCCACAAGGCAGCAGGATGATTACTGGGAAAAGGCACCTGCCACTAACACGGAAAGAGAGAACTGAGTCCTACAAGATGTCCTCTGAACCTCCACAGGTGAACTGTCACACCTAGCCTCCTACACATACACACAAGCATAATGTAATAAAAATATTTTAAAGCCACTAACATATTTTCTTTTCCTTGAAGATTCTCTATTAATAGATTTAGGAAAACACTAAAACAGAGTTAAAGCATATAAAACAAAACTTTAGTTGACAAAAGACTGAATAAAAATAAAGATGTAATTATTCAAAACAAAAAATAGTTCCTTTAAATAAGTAGTCAGTGAGAGGATATATTCCAGGTCTAGGACAAGAAAGCCATTAAAAGGCTGTTAGGGAGAGGGAGGAGTATCTATGTTGCCTAGCCAGTGTTGCCTTGGGTTCCATGCTGAGCACAGAAGACTGTTAGAAAGTCAGCGCATGCTGGGCAGTGGTGGCACACACCTTTAATCCCAGCACTTGGGAGGCAGAGGCAGGTGGATTTCTGAGTTCGAGGCCAGCCTGGTCTACAGAGTGAGTTCCAGGACAGCCAGGGCTACACAGAGAAACCCTGTCTTGAAAAACCAAAAAAAAAAAAAAAAAAAGATAGTCAGTGCATACCTGTATCTCCAGAATTTGAAAGAATGAAGCTGAGATGTAGGAGCTAATGTGGGAGGAGTTGGGGAGGAAGAGGAAGAGTAAGGAGGAGAGGAGGAAGAGGAAGAGGAGGTGCTAGGAGAGGAAAGAGAGAAAAGTGGGGGAGGAGATGGAGGCGAATGTTCACGTGTCTGTAGCAGTCAAAGGTAGTTGGTATTTCTAGGTTGGGTATTGGGTTACACTTCTGATTGTATGGGTATCGTGTTACTGATCATTACCAAATATATACGCCTTTGATTAATCTTTAAGCATTAGAATTTCATCTTTCTACTGGGCTCTCGTGGATGGTCTGGGCAATGCCCAGCCTTGTGGAGACAGCGTGAAAGATTGGCAGAGCCATCTCCCATGCTGGCGTCTCGTGAGTGGCAGGGCTTGTGTTTCTTTCTGGCCATTTCTAGCTGTGGCACACACGTGGCCTCTGGCCGAGAAACATGGCGGCTGAGGTAGGCAGAGGCGCCGCAGCTTAGATAGTCGGCCTGACAGAGGCCGTTTTAGATAATTACCACAACATCCAACCACCATGCCTTTGCTTTACCATCATGGTCTCTAAGCCTCTGAAACTCTAAGTCCTGTTAAATGCTTTCTTTTATAAGTTGTAGTCGTAGTGCTTTATTTATCACAGGAACAGAAAGACTAAGACAGAGGCTTCTTAATGGGTATCCCCTTAATCAGATGAAAATAATCTGAAAGTCTGTAAGGACAACAACTACAAAGAATAAAACACACCAAATGGTGTGTCTGTGTGTGTTCACACATGCATGCACATGGGTAAATGCATGCCAAGGGGCACAAGTGGTAGTCAAAAGACAGCTTATGGGAGTCAGTTCTCTCCTTCTACCATGTGGGAACCTGAAATGTAACTCAGGTACTCAGGCTTGGAGGAAAGTGCCTTTATTAGCTGACTCATTTCATTCTATTTACTTTTAGATTTATTTTTATATTTTATGTGTATGAGTGTTTTGTCTGCATGTGTGTATGTGCATCATGTAAGCATCTGATACCCTCAAAGATCAGACGATAGCAGATAGTATCAGATCCTCTGGAACTGGAGGCATAGATACTTGTGAGTCACCATGTCAGTGCTGGAAACTGAACCTGGGTCCTCTGCAAGAGCAACCAGTGTTGTTATTCACTGAACCATCTTCCAGCACCCACTCCCTTGTAAGCTAGATTCACTATAGCCCAGGCTGACCAAGGAAATACCAATAGTCCAGGCTAGCCTCAAACTCCATTAATGATCCTCTTGCTTCAGCCTCCTCAGTACTAGGGCTACAGACATAAGACAGTAGGCAACTCTGAGATAAATTAACAATTTTTTCTTCTTTTTCTACCACTCTGTGTCTCTTCTCTCTTCCCTTCCCTCCCTCTACCCTTTCTCCACTCCAAGGGTGCCTAGTCCAGGCTGGCCTTTCATGCCCTATATAGCAGAATTGGTCACCTTGAATTTGACCCTGCTATGACATCCAACTATACCACACAATTATGTGGTGCTGGGATCTAATCCAGAGCCTCATTGCTAGGTAAGCATTCTATCAACCACAATGCATTTCCAGGCCTCACAATACAGTGAATATACTAAACAGAAAAATCTTAGTGGTCATTTGAATGTTAAAACTAAAGAAAAAAAAACAATCATTTATTTTGCTTTCTTAAACTGTATCTTCAAGTAATCAAATAATGAATGATAGTCTTTACAGATATATTTGTTAATAAACAAAATATTTATAGAATACCAATGATTTGATATCTCTAATGAAGTAACAGACCTAGGTAATGATTATCAATAGAAAAGTCACAAAAAGATACATAATGACACATTATAGGCCTATTGTGAAAGTTCACAAAACATTCATTAAAAAAAATTTCTAGGGGCTGGAGAGATGGCTCAGTGGTTAAGAGCACTGACTGCTCTTCCAGAGGTCCTGAGTTCAAATCCCAGCAACCACATGGTGGCTCACAACCATCCGTAATGAGATTCGATGCCCTCTTCTGGTGTGTCTGAAGACAGCTACAGTGTACTCATAAATAAAGTAAATAAATCTTTAAAAAAAAAAAAAATTTCTAGGGGTGTGTTTCATTTGTAGAATTGCCTAGATTATGCAAATCCTTGGTTCTAATTGCCTGTATCATAAAACAAAGGCAAAAACTCTGTAGATGGCTACATTAAAAAAAATAATAAGTCCTTTTCTTTTAAAGATACGCACTGAGGTAAGAACAATTCAAATATTCTAGGAGGAGAAACAAGATTAAACATCCTAACCAGAAACTGTTGCCTAAGTCTATCTATGTACATGTTAAGGAAGAAAAAAAAAAAAAGAAAAAACAGTCCAATGTACTTTCAAACTCTTTAATTTGTTTTTTTTCTTCAAATATACTTTTATTTATATTAGCTATAGTAAGTCAAAATCTGGAACTTATAAAACAAGTCTAAGAATTAGAGCATGAACACAACAATCAGAAATAAAAGTCAAAATACCTGCTTTAGGCATATAAGCAACATAGGTATTGCTCCTTTAAACTGTTACTTTTTATTAGACTACCAAAACTTATTACCTCACATGCTTGTTACTCTTCCACCCTTTTTCCCACCTCTCTTTTCCTTTTCTTTATTCTATACTTACCACTTTCCATCTTTCTTTGACCAGGATTCCAACACTGAGGATATCTGGCTGCTCTCCTCCTCCACTCATTGCAAAATACTGATGAGGTAAAACAGCTACACAAGCATCTAGCTCCCAAGGGTGGATTCCATTTAACCTAAAACAAAAGAAACAGAAGCAACAGAGCTAATTAACACAGATAATATTCTAGCCTCAAGAAGCCTACTGATTCTATACATTATTATGTGGCTTCCTCAGAAGGATAGGGGACTCTTTAGAACTACATTCCAAGACTGTATAATTCACATGGTCTTACCAGTACAGATGACCAGCCATCACAAAGACATAGCATGAGGGTCAAATGGCAGTTGACCCAGAAGGACCATTGTCCTAAGTACACACAATTATCAGAGAAAAAGGCATGGTAGCCAATTTATGATACTTACAATTTTAAACCTAGGGCCCTGAGCATGTTAGGCAAGGACTTACCACTAAGCTATATCCTTAGCCTTTTTATTTTTTAAGACAGGCTCAAATTGTTCAGGCTCCTACTTAACTCCCTCTGTAACCCAAGATGGCTTTGAATCTGTGGTTCTTCTGCTCACCCTCCCGATTAACTGTATGTATCACAGCATCTGCTACCAGACCTGGCACAGCTTACAGTTTAATTGGTTTAGCATACAATTTAATATCAGTAGAGCTAATAACATTTAATGTCTCGTTAAATACATTCATTCATCTTTCATGTGCTAGTGCGTGTACTGGTACATTTCTGGTACATGCAAATGTAGAAGTCAGAAGACAACTTACAAGAGTCAGCTCTGTTCTTTTACCATATAGGTTCTAGTGACTAAACAAGTTGTCAGGATTGGCAGCCAGCACCCTTACCTTCTGAAAAATCTCACCTATATCTTACAAAATGCACTTCAAATGCATAGGAATTAATTAATGTAGGCAGGAAAAGGCTGCGACAAACCACTAAAACAATCACTTTTAGAAAAGAAAAACAGCAAAAGAACAGTAGATCTATGGAAAACAAATACCAAAAGATACAGCCTAATAGACATGGAAACTATAACATAACCCACAAATAGGAGAGAAAAACATGTTACATGTGTGGAAGCCAGAAAACCATCCTGGATGTCATCCTCAGTGTGCTGTCTAGTTTTATGTCAACCTAACACAAACTTAGAATCATCAAAGAGGAGAGAGCCTCAACTGAAAAAAATGCCTCCATAAAATCCAGCTGTAGGCAAGCCTGTTAGGGATTTTCTTAAATTTATTGATTGGAGAGGACGCAGCCCATTGTGGGTAGAGCCATCCCTGGACTGATGGTCCTAGGTTCTATAAGAAAGATGCCTGAGCTAGCCATGGTAAGCAAGCTGGTAAGCAGTACACTCCTTCATGTCCTCTGCATCAGCTCCTGCCTCCAGGTTCCTGTCCTGCTTCAGTTCCTGTCCTGACTTCCTGTGGTCATGAACTGTGATGAGGAAACAGTAAGCTGAGTAAACCCTTCCCTCCCCATGTTGCTTTGGTCATGGTTGTTTTATCACAGCAATAGCAACTCTAAGACACTCTGGAACATTACCTTTGAGACAGAGTCTCAGTGGTCTAGAGCTCACTGATTAGGCTAGACTGGTCAGCAAGCCCCAGACATCCTTGACTCTACCTCCCGAGTAGTGGGGTTAAAGGAAAGAATCACCATGCCCAGCGCCATTTGTATTCGGGTTCTGGATATTAAACAAGGATCCTGTGCTTGAGAGGTGAGTACTTTACCAATTGAGCTGTCTTTTTAATCCAAATATTGTTAAGAGAAAAAAGCAAGATGAAAAAAAAAGGGTATGGTATGCTGCCTTTGTATAAAATTACACTAATAGATTTTATTTAAAAGAGAGGAAAAAAAAGGAAGTTAAGCCAAACGGCAATAAATGAGTCTTCGTAACCGTAAGAAAAATTTTCAGTAAAGGGTCAGAAAGAAGGATATTTTAGCCTTCATTGTCCATATAGTCTATCAAGCTAATCAAACCTACTAAACCAGACAAAGGCCACCCTCAGCTACACATCAAGTTCAAGGCTAGTCTAGGCTACATGAGTGAGTGTGTGTGTGTCTCTGTGTGTGTGTGTCTGTGTGTCTCAATTCCTAGCATGTGAATAGTAGCTAACAATTATCATAATTCCAGCTCCAGGGGATATGATGCCCTCTTTTGGCCTCAAATAAAGGAAAGTAAAAAGAACCTGAGGCAATGAATACCATATAAGTTTTGCAAAATACATCAGGTCTAGGACAATAACCAACTTGACTTCTGAGCCAGCAAGATAGCTCTGTAGTGACAGCCAAGCCTGATGACTTGAGTTTGACTCCTGGGACCCACATGATGGGGAAAGAAAACTGACTCCTGCAGTCTGTCCTCTGATCTTCACGAGGGCAGAGGCATGCACACAACACACATGCATGCAGGAATGTGCACACACACACCCACAACACACATGCATGCAGGAATGTGCATACCCCCACCTCACAGAGATGTAACTTTTGAAAATTTAACATCAGTTTTTTGCAATCCCTCTCATTTCTAAGTGTACATAATACCAACCTATTTCCTACTTCTCTTCTTAGCCAAGAGTGAGTCTCTTTCAATAGGCACTTGATCTTACCGGTTTTACAATTCTGAGGGGGAAAAAAAGATCCAGTTTGAGGAGGTAAAAAGTTAATTAACAAACATACTTAGCATTGAACTGTTTTCTTCAAAATGCTTAAGAAGGCAAATATTATGTATATTTTACTACAACAAAAAATAAAGTTTAAGTAGGGAGTGGTGATACACACTCTTAGTCCCTGAACTTGGAAGGCAGAAGCAATGAATCAGGTCAAGGTCATTCACACATACAAAATGAGTTTGAGACCAACACACACACACACACATTCCTTTTTTTTTTTCTTTTTGTCAAAACAAAAACAGCGTTTTTCTCTGTGTAGCTTTGGCTGTCCTGGAACTCACTCTGTACACCAGACTGTAGACTGGCCTTGAACTTGGAGATCTGCCTACCTCTGCCTCTGGAGTGAGGGGATCAAAGGTGTCCACTATCACCAATCACCACGTGTGGAGAGCCTTTGGTGCCGCTAATAAAAATGTGCTGCTTATAGACATTTGGCAAGTACTTGTCACAGGGCTCTGGAGGAGGAAGTAGGTTAGGTTCAGGTAAGAGTATTCACATTTAAGCTAACGCAAGGATCAAGGTGAGCACAGGCAAGGAATGAGTGACTTCCCTTTTGTCAGTAATCCTCCTAAGAACTAGGGACTCAGGGACTTTGTTTATTGCTTTGTTTGATTACTACCTGGTGTGATCTCTTTGTTCTTTGCCTTATTTGATTACTTTGTCTCTGATCTAAGAACTGACTCTATTCTCTGCAAGTACCTAGAATGGTATGAAAGCTGGCTGGGAAAAATTAAAGTTGCTTCAGCCTCAGCACTGGCTGGAGTCATATTATAATGTTTCTCTAATTGTCTTTTTCTTTTCAGTCCTCACTCCTGCACTTGAGACCCTGTTGACTGACTGAGCTGGCTTAGTCAACCACCACTACCACCACCACCCAGAAATAAAGATAATTCTAAAATATCTCCCAACTACCTCAATCTCCGGCTATTGATCATTTCCCTCCCTTGATGTTAAGGTAGATCTAGTTTCTTGCCTCTAATTAAAAGAAAACAGCAAAGATAATTCCTCTCTGTCTCTCCCTGTTTGCTTGCTACCATGAAGCATCTACCCTATTACCCCATAGAAAGGACCACTTGGCAGAAAACAGAAGCAGTTTCTAGAATATTACACAATTCCGGGAATAACAGGTATCAATAGCTAACAAGGAACTGTCCTGTGAGTCTAACAACTCTCAAGAGACAGAACCTCCCATCACCGTCAGAGCAAACTTAAATCCTTCCCCTGCTTTACTCTGTGACTGTTGAAGTCTACCCTGACTATCGCCTATAGCCCACACTGATGAGGTTCCCACCGATTGGGTTATACCCAAAATGCTGACAAATAGACACTGAGAGATAAACGTTTTAAAATCCCAGGTCCTGAAATGGGCACAGTGACAAACACACACTAAAGCCAAGACAGGAGGATCATGAAGGCAGCCTGGAGTACAAAGTCAGACTCATCCCGAGCAGCAGGTAACAATTTGTCAGGCTTCTAGTGTTTGAGGCACAAGTGCAGGTTCCTTTTCAATTTTACATCACAGATAACTGAAACACTATATAACATGCTATAAAAACAATTAAATTAAAATAACTATGCTGTACTCATTTATTAATACTAATACCATATGTCAGAGCAATAATACTACCTTCTTCAAGAGAATTATTGAATACTTTCCTTCCTGGCAATATCCTTTTGCTTTGTTTTATTTATTTATTTATTTATTTATTTATTTTTGAGACAGTCTCTCTCTATATATATATATAGCCCTGGCTGTCCTGGAACTCACAGAGATCCTTCTGCTTCCTGTGTGCTGGGATTAAAGGTGTGTGCCACCATCTCCAGCTCTGGTAATAGTCTTAATGATCTAAAATAGGGAGTAAAACTCATGGTAATAAATTCTGACAGTGGTACTAAATCTGGATGTGTTGACAAAACAGACCCAAAGAGAATCAAATATAGATGGAACGTGCTAAATGAAGATCAACTTGTAAATGTGAAAGAACAAGTGGTTTAAAAAAATCATTTGAAACATTTGCTAAATAGCAAATGATTGAAGGGAAAAACAGCAAATGAGTGTCTTTGTTAGGGTTTCTAGGCATCCAGGAGTGGTGCTAGAGTATATGAGAGTTCTATATCTTGAGCCACAGGGAGTAGAAGGAGATTGTGACATACTGGCCAGACCTGAGATTATAGGACCTCAAAGCACTCTTCAACAGTGACACACTTTCTTCAACAAGGCCACATCTACTAATGGTGTCATTCCCTCTGTGCCAAGTACTCAAACACATGAGTCTCTTGGAGCCAAACCTATTTAGTCCACTACAGTACGTAAACCCTGACATCATCAGTCACAGAACAAGAAAATGAACGAATACAAAAAGTTTTATTTGAGAAATTAGCATAACACTGCAGTGAATCTACTGTCTTCTAACTCTAGAGATGCTCCAGGACACACAGGTTAAGGTTGGACTAGTTAGATTATTGGTATTACTTCTCTTTGCCTCATTTTCTTATCTATTAAAAACAAGAATAGGTTGTTTTTCCATTACTGCTGAGATCATTGTACCCTCACAGTATAATCTGCAAATTTGCCTTTAAACAGTCTAACAATGGTATCTAAGGATTTAAAGTGCTAATAAATGATGTATGTAGTGTTTACTTCTAACAAAACCTGACACACTGTGCTCAATAAATAGTAGCCCCATGTAATATGTCACTTTGCAAATTTCTTAGCTTACAGTCTCATTCACAAATACAGTATCTACAAAACAGTCTCTGTATTGACAGACTACTTATCAAAAGAACCAATTCTGTTTGCATGGGACCTATTAAACAACTACTATTTATCAAATTCCTATGAAAATGAAAATTATTGTTTTACACTTTGCTTATAGCATTTACATTGTTATATTTTTGCTGTAAAAATTTGTAGAAAAACTAGTTAGTCAAAACAAATAAAGCCAGGTGTGATGGCACATACCTATAATCCTAGCATTCAGGAGGTAGAGGCAGGTGGATCTCTTTAAATTCCAGCCAGCCAGTGATACACATTGAGATCCTAACTAAAAGAAACAAACAAGAAAAGAGGGCCAGGCGGTGGTGGCACACGCCTTTAATCTCAGCACTTGAGAGGCAGAAGCAGGTAGATTTCTGAGTTTGAGGCCAGCCTGGTCTACAGAGTTCCAGGACAGCCAGGGCTATACAGAGAAACCCTGTCTCAAAAAACCAAAAAAAGAAAAGAGGGGGACAAGATAAAAACAAACCAATGCCATCTACTACTATAAAGTTATAAAGTATAAATTACTTTCCAAGTGTGTATCACCTGAAGGACATAATGAGTACCCCTTCATAAAATAAAGGACAGAGGCATTATTTCAGCTGGCATTAAAGGTTTTTTTTTTGGGGGGGGGAATGTCTCATTTTATTAGCATATTTTAATTGAACAAAACAATAGGTTTCATTATGATATTTTCATACATATTTAAAATTATATTTCACACATATTTAATATATTTTTCTCATATTCACCTCCCTCCAAAGTCTCCCCTCAGTGAAGTACCTTATTATAGCTCAGGATAGCCTTGAACTCAGTGATCCTTCCTTCTGAGCCTCATAAGTGTTGGGATTATAGGTGTGCACCATCATGCCCAACTCCAAAGAAACAACAGGAAAACATGTAGGCTTTTGTACACCATTGTGCGTACACCTGAGATAGTTCTGTGTAGATGACTGAACATGTGCTTCTCTGGGACATCCTAACTCCTTTCTTAGGGTATGTATCCCAGAAAAACTCTTGGTCACTAAGATGGATATGGAAGAATTCATAATCATGCTGTCCACAACAATCTAAATGCCCAGCACAGAGAGAACAAGAGAAGTTCTAGCATATTCATATGGTAAACAGGCTTGTTAGTTTCCTACTGGTGCCCCAGTGAAGCTGCAAAATTGACCCAAGTTTATAATCTTACAGTGCTGGATGTCACAAATCCAGATGTCACTGTGGAAGCAAGGTTGTTCTCTCTAGAGACTATAGGAAAATCATTCTCCTTTCCAGCTTCTAGAAGGTGCCTGAACTCCTTGGCTCATAATTTCATTCCATTTTCAAAGCAAGTGTTGCAGCACCTTGATAACTCAATCTCTTATATTCTTATTCTCTCTCTCTCCCCCACCCTCTCCTCTTCTCTTTCTTTCGTTCTCTTAAAAAATGCTTATTTGATTTCCTTTATGAGGACCCTGTAATGACACTGGACTCACCTTGACAGTCAAACCAATCCTCCCTTGTCAAAGACTTTAAAGGTTTAAATTTAATCACATCTGCAAAATCCCTTCTGTCGCCTAAGGTATCTTATTTATAGGATTCGTGGATTAGAATGTGAATATCTTGGAGGGTGAATTGTTTTATTTGTCACAAAGAATAAGCTAAAATATAAATGAGAAAACCCCATTAGTATACAGAACACTTCAAGTAAGTCCCTAATGCTTGAAAACAAGGCAAGAGAAGTCACATGAGTTTTTAAATATAAAGTTCAAGAAGAAACAAACCTAACCTATATTTAAAAATGGAAATACAGGTAGGAATTTTAAAAAGAAAAGCAAAGACATGATTATCACAAAAACTGGACACCTTTGGAGTAAAGAAGATGCATGAGATCAGGAACAGGCTTCTGAGATGCTGACATGTTTTTAAACACTTAGGTTTGCAACTATCTTAAAACTACATATATTTATATATGTGCTATAATTAATATCCCATAAAAAGAGAATTAATAAATAATAGTTATATAAATCAAAGGCAAGGAAAGATAGACATAGAATGATGGGTCAAGGCATCCATCTATGCCAACAGAAAAGGTCAGTGAACCTGACAGTTGAATATGGACAGAAATCTAGGTTTAGAGCAGACAGTCTCAGAATCTCAGACACAATTTACAATGTCATTTATATATTTAAAAATTGTTTCATTATTTT